CATGTTTTAATTACTTTATTAGTTCTTACCTTTTTTCACTTGTTACTGTTTTCTTAATTCTTATTTCAATTTAGTAGTTGTTACTGTAATTTTGTTATTTTTGATGTTGTGTTTTCTATAATATGATGCTTTGATTTTTAACCTAATCAAATATATTTAAAATAACATTAAAAATCGATCAATTTAACTAAACCACACCAATTTGATCTAATTTAAATTGGTTTAGTTATAATGTAATAATCGATTGAATTAGTTTGAAAATTTAATTAACTGATTAAATTTGTTTGATTTTAAAAATATTAAAATCTAATTCAATCTACCCTGCAAATATCCCTAATTAGGTAAGTAGAGGAGGCGTGTTACCACAACAAAAAAGAAAAAGAAAATGGACATGTTGATTAACCACAGCATTGTGAGTAGAGCGACTGATTTGCACCTAAAGGTTAGAAAAGAGGAAACCAAAGGTCCAAAGAGATAATTAAGAGACCGTTTGAGAACTAAATGGAGTTGAGGGAACCTTTTAAGTTAAATTCATTGATAAATAAATGTTATTTAATAGGTCAAATTTAGGGTTTAAGGACTTATTTGGTATAGTAGTTTTGAGATATTGATTAACGATTTTGTTTAAATTACTGAGGATAGATGTTTGGTAAATTATTATATTTTTAAATTACTATAAACTAAGCATTATGTAAAAATTTTAATTTAGTGATTTAAAATTAGTAGATAATAATTAAAATTCAAACTGCTAGCAGCTTAAAAATGTTGGTTTAGGTATCTTTTTGTACCAAACTATTAATAGATTATAATTTTTTTAATTTTATTGATAAATTTATCTATTTTGATTTTTAAATTTTTGGCACAATTTTTAATTAGTACTTATGTCACGTCCTAGAACCCAAATCCGGAGACGTGACAGACACCGTTCACTCGTAAACAGGTCCCACGAATGCACAAGGCTTGAAACTTTTCCATTTCACATCTGACAATCTAATAACTTAAATAAGATATTTCAAAATTAATTCTATGTCCAACATGACTTAATCTCAAAATCTCCATGTCAAATCTCTTGTAAACTAACAATCCTTTAAATGAAGTTATAAAATCTCCAATTACAATCTAGCTTACAATATCATCATTTATATCTAAAATCCATATTCAATTACAAAATGGCTAGCCTTCTAACTCGTCACTCCCCTTGTTTTTCCCCGTCCTTGGTTTTGCTTCCTGAAATGGTAGACAAGGAAAAACTATGAGATAAAATATCTCAGTAAGTAAATATGAATAGCCTTTGGTTAAAATTTAAGCATGCCAGATAAACCATGTAAACATAACAAAAATTTCAACAACGACTCGTTAAAACAGAATCAAATTCAGTTCAATAGCAAAACATTCAATGGCAAACCGTTAATGCAAAATCAGATTCAGTTCAGTAGCAAAGCGTTCAATGACAAACCGTAATGCAGAAGAAAATTCAGTAGTAGTCTCATCTATAAGTCATGGCCAGCGTTTAACACCCATTGGCAAGCGTCGGAATTTACCAATGTGTTCACCCATTGGCAGGCGTCAGAATAAACCTATCAGTAAACATGTCACATGTGCTAGCGTTACTCCCACTAGCGGGGATCAAAAATCATGACCATATCAGAGACAAAACCATGCAGGATTTACAAAAGAAATCCGTAATTCACAATCGAAATCCCAAATTTCAGAAATAACCAGAAAATTCCATGTGGGCATGGATTTAACAGAAAATCATAATTTACAAAAATTCTTAAATCATCAGAGCAGTTCAGTAAGTTCCAAATAGGCATG